CACAGAATATCTACTTAAAAATATTTAGTTAGTTAGACAGGTTTCACCGTATAAATTGTCATACTTGCATATGGTAAACAAATCAACATGTCATAAAGAAGCATGCATCTTTAATTCTGACATCCTTATGATTTGGGGGGGGGGGGGTTATCAGTAAATGTAATTTTGTCAAATCCTAGTTGTTAAATATTTCAAGCAAAAATCATTGAATTTGAAGAAATTTTTTGTTATCGCTGTAGTTGAGGGTGCAAATACCCGATCAGCATGATGGAGCTGGAATCCAAATCTTGGGATGCATCATTCTTAATGGGCTGACATAAAAGCACAAAATATGATAAATGCATATTTGTCAAATAAAATCTACAACATTGATGGTGTCCATACCGTTTAGTCATGACACACATAGTACCGATATATACCAGTACTTCAATGAATTACCAATACAACATGTAAATTTTCTTATTCTACCTGACTTTAGAGTTTCCAATTGTATCTTTTATTTGTCAATATTTGTTTATTGTATGGGTTTATCCATGAGTGGACGAGTATCCACAAAGATGTCAAATGTTCAGTTAATTATTTTCAGTTACTGTATTTGCTCTATAAGAAGCCCATCTCCAATATAGATGCATTTTAGGTCAAAAGTTGTTTTAATATGACCTAGTAAGTATAACTATTTGGCTCATGTTACCACTGCGTCTGAGCGAACGTCAAACATTCTGTACTTCTTATGCCCAAGTTTAAAACGGCCATGCATAACAGGATTTCTTGTAGTGAAGAGAAATCATAACTTGGTTGATAAACAGCACCAAGTTTCAATCAGTATAACTTGCAAACAACGTAAAATTCAGATTTGAATTATGACTAAAGTACTCGAAATTGAAAGGACTTTCAATAGCACATCTTTGAAGTGATAGTGCTTCTAATGGAGCATAAACAGGGTTTTATCTTGTGCAAAACAGTTAGTGATCAAACTGAGGGTTAAAATAGTTACATGAAACATGGTTTTACAGATGGTTGTCATGGACCCCATAGTTTTCAAAATGGCAGATCAATGAATTATTTTATTCCCAAGGTGTACACTGTATTGACAAATGAAACCCAAATTGGATGTGTATTTTGATCAGGAGATGAAATTATGTTGAATGGTAATTTGTTCTCCACAATTTTATGTCTAAATTATTCATTCATGATGATGAAGCAGACAAATCTGTATGGGACTAAGCAGATTTCAACAAAATTATGTTACAAAATTAATAACAGCAATGAAATTATTATTTCTTTGTATCAAAGGCTAGGTAACTTTTTTGTCTCATTGATTTTCCTGCCACATTCATTTATTGAAAACTTGCAATACTCTGAAAAAATAAATTAAGCTGAAAAAAACTTTATTCTACAGAATTGCCAGTAACTAAGGTGTCTAGAAATGGCCAGACATTGCCAGTATCTGAAGTGACGTGCAAGACATGCATCTTTTTCTATGCAGATTATTATATATATATTTACTTGGATTAAATCCTTATTTTATTGAAGTTGTAGAACATTAACGAAGGATAAAATATATAACATCAAAATATCATGGTCTGTTTTTATTCGTGGCTATTAAGAAGTGTGTGTTGTCCTCGTGCCTATTACTGACATTGGATTGACGACCTGTTGCTGCGCTTGTCAGGAAATTGGAGAGTCTCTGTCTATCCATGCTATGTTTGTGACCTATCTGTGTTTTTGTTTAGCAAAATGATGTATTTAGTTGAGAAAACTAGTGTGTGAATTAAGAGCTTGCAAGTTGTTAATCCTGTATCTCAACTAGATCGTTCCAAAATACCTTTTTTTGGCAAAACAATTAATTCTGCTCATTAGTCTGGTTGTATTCCAAACAATGATTTCACCTCTGTCTGTGTCACAGACATACCTTGGCCCATTACATTAAAACTTCCCATACATATCCACAGGCATGATACAATTTATGTTTTTAGTGATAAAAATACTTCTAAATCGAAACATTTCTGCAATTCTGGAACCTCATCTCGGTTATGCAAGGGCATATTTCATTCAAATTTGGTTCATATATTGACAAGCCATGCATGGCACAATCCCAGTTACAAATTTAAGATGTATAGTTTTGTTTATTGTCAAACCATTATATCTATGTCATGATGTACAAGGAATATATAAAATTTGATCATAATCAGTCAAAG